AATAACATTAAATGTGAATGGATTAAGGAATCCAGTCAAAAGGCAGAGATTGACAGGCTAGATAAAAATATAAGCTCCAAATACAGATCTTCCTTGACTTCTGACGGGGTTATTCCTGATAAACCCTGGTAAGTTAAAAATATGAACCATAAATCAAAATATATTTAGGGGCATCTGGCTGGCTCAGTTGGCAGAGCATGCAACTCTTGATCTCAGGGTTATAGGTTCAGGCCCCATATTGTGTGTAAAGATTACTTAAAAAAATAATCTTAAAAAATTACATTGAACACACCTAACCTACAGACCATCATAGCTTTGTGAGTCCTTTAAAATTTATTTATTTGTCAGAGAGAGAGAGAAAGCATAGCAGGGGAAGCAGCAGGCAGAGGAAGAAGCGGGCTGAGGGGCTCGATCCCAGGACCCTGGGACCATGACCTGAGCCGAAGGCAGACGCTTAACCGACTGAGCCACCCAGGCATCCCCCGTGTGTCCTTTAAATGCACTCAGAACACTATAGTTGGGCAGAACTACCTAACACAAGGCCTATTTTATAATAAAGTGTTGAATATGTCACATAGTTTATTGACTATACTGTACTGAAAGTGAAAAGCAGAATGGTTGGAAGGGTATCAGTTGTTTACCCCCGTGATCACATGGCTGACAGGAGGCTGTGACTTGCCCAGCATCACAAGACAGTGTTGTCTCACACAGGAGAAAATAAAAATTCAAAGTATGGTTCCTACTGAATGCATATCACATTTGCACCATTGTAACGTCAAAAAATTGTTAGATGAACCATCGTAAAGTTGGGGATTGTATATAGTGACTACAGGAGAGACCCTTCAGATTCAGAGATGCAGATAACTTGAAAATAAAATAATGGGACAAGATATGTCATGCAAACAGCAACGATAAGAAAGCTGGAATGGTTTTGCAAGTATCAGACACAATAGGCTTTAAACATAGCGATAATGGAGGTCGTTTTATAATGATAGCAAAACTGAACTGCGGGGACAAGTAGACATTTCAACCGTCATAGCTGGAGACTTGAATACCCCACTCCCAATAATGGAGAGAACAAGAGAACAACTAGATGTGATCCACATGGGAATGGAAGACTTGGAAACACTGTGAACCCCCTAGACCTAAAAACTATTTATAGAATACACTACAAAAATCTACAATTTTAATTGTTATAACCTAATTCAATTATTGGAAGTGAAAAGCACCTTCCGCTCACACAACAGGGTACGTGAATAAATGTGTTGGAACCAGTGCTACTTGTTTTCTTTGTGTTTCCTGCGCAAAAGATGGCGGAGCTCCGCTTCTAACAAACGCTGTGTTGCTAGCTACCACCACCGGAAGCCTCGTGCTGTGTGTGTTTTCCATCTGTTCTTCCAGTCTTCCCAGCCGCCTGGTGAAGCACGTGCGCCCTATCTAGGGAACTTAAACACCGGTTGAGCAGCATATCTACAGTATGAGACACTCTACATAAAAGCAGCAGAAGACCTATTCTTCTCTGAACACCCTCTCAGATAGTCCCCATTCTAGGTCAGAAACCAAGCTTTGAAAAGTGAAAAGGATTGCAATGACACAAGGTATGTTTCCTGACTACAGTGGAATGAGAAATGAAGTAAAAAATGGAAAGAAACTTGGGAAACTCATGTATATATGGGAATTAACCAACACAGTCCTAAATAACCAATGAGTCAAAGACAAAGTCAAAAGGAAAATCAGAAAATACTTTGAGATGAATGGGAATGAAGACACAGTACACGAAAAGTGGTGGGACACAGCAAATCAGTACTTAGAGGGAAATCTGTAGTTGTCAAACATCACCACCAGCCACTTTCTGGACCGTTTCCCTCTTGCAAAACTGAAACTCTGCCCGTCACCCCTCTCCCCAGTCCCTGGCAGCCATCATTTTACTTTCTGTGCCTGTGACTGTGACTGATCCAAGTATGTTATGTAAGTGGAATCTCAGTACTTGTCTTTTTTTTTTTTTTTAAGATTTTATTTATTTATTTGAGACAGAGAGAATGAGAGAGAGAGAGAGAGAGAGCACATGAGAGGGGGGAGGGTCAGAGGGAGAAGCAGGCTCCCTGCCGAGCAGGGAGACCGATGCGGGACTCGATCCAGGGACTCCAGGATCATGACCTGAGCCGAAGGCAGTCGCTTAACCAACTGAGCCACCCAGGCGCCCCTCAGTACTTGTCTTTATGTGACTGGCTTATTTCACTGAGTAGGACGCCCTCGAGGTTCATCCATGTTGTAGCAGGTGTCAGTCTCCTTTCTTTTGAAGGCTGAGTATCTTCCATGGTACACACACCCCAAGTTTTGCTTCTGCACTCATCTGTCAGTGGATGCTTGGGTTGTTTCTACATTTTAGCCATTGTGAATAGCTTCTGTGAACATGGTGTACACATATCTCTTCAAGACCCTGCTTTCTAGTTCTTTTATATACCCAGAATTGGAACTGCAGGATCATGTAGTAATTCTATGATTTCTTAGTGTTGTTAAAGGATATGATGAAGGATCGGAATCAACAGCCAGATGGAATTGATGCACAAGGTGAGGTAGGGGAGAGGGGCTTGGAACTTCGTGTCCTCTCCAGGCACGTGACGCTCCCCATATCCAGAAGCTCCGATTTTTTATTTTTTGAGGACTCACCACACCGTTTTACACAGTAGTTGTACCATTTTACCTGCCTGCCAACAGAGCAGGATAGTTCCAGTATCTCTACATCCTCGCCAATACTGTTACTTTCTAGTTTTTTGTTTTGTTTTTTAAATATGGTAGCCATCATAGTGGACGGGAGGTGGTATCTCATTGTAGCTTTGATTTGCATTTCCCTGATGGGTGGTGATAAGCATCTTTTTTTGGCCATTTGATTTGGAGAAATGTCTAAGTCCTCACACAGTTTTAAATCGGGTTCTTTCTTTTTCACGGCTGAGATTTAGAAGTTCTCTAAACGTTGTGGATATTAACCACTTATCAGATACATGATTTGCAAATAATTACTCCCATTTTGTGGGTTGTCTTTTAACTCTGATAGTGTCTTCCGATGCACAGAACTTTTAAATTTTCATGAAGTCCAATTTGTGAGATTGATTTGTATGTTTTCATTTCATTGAAATTCGGAACATTTATTTTAGAGCTGGAGGGAATTTTGAAAAGTGAACTGGTATTCGTCCTGACAGGGCAAAAGAACCAGTGGTGATCACTCTTTTGAATTGATTGGCAACATATATTATAGGAAGGCAACTCTGGACTTGTATTAGTGGCCTTGGACCCTGTCTACAGTTAGGACTGCCTCATATAGGATTACACGTCCTAGAAGCCTGAAAAATGTTTTACCTGCACGCTTAGGGTGAATCCATTGCCAAAAAACTTCAGGACAAAAGTTGCCTTCTCCAAGCACTGCCTTTTTGTGCTATTAAGTTCTGTATGTTACTCAACGTTAGCAATTTTGTCATTGACTGCTCCTAGTAGATGTATGGAATGTTCATCTATATGTATATTTATTATTGAACTTAGAATTAATGTAATCTAGAGTCTCAAAGCTCCCAGCTGGTTCAGAATGTAGTACAGCATAGTGGGAAGCACGTGAGCTTTGGGGGCAGACAGGTCTGTGTTCAAATCCCACTTGGGCACTTGGTGTCTCATACTGTAGATATGCTGCTCAACCGGTGTTTAAGTTCCCTAGATAGGGCGCACGTGCTTCACCAGGCGGCTGGGAAGACTGGAAGAACAGATGGAAAACACACACAGCACGAGGCTTCCGGTGGTGGTAGCTAGCAACACAGCGTTTGTCAGAAGCGGAGCTCCGCCATCTTTTGTGCAGGAAACACAAAGAAAACAAGTAGCACTGGTTCCAACACATTTATTCACATACCCTGTTGTGTGAGCGGGAGGTGCTTTTCACTTCCAATAATTGAATTAGGTTATAACAATTAAAATTCCAGAAGGCAAACTAGTAATTTATTGGTGCTCATGAGCATAAGTAAACAGACATGGTACCACATAAAGGAATTTTAAAAACACTTCTAAACTTTTGGTATAGCTTTGAATATGGACCAGTATACTTTGGCAATGGACCTCATAGATTTCCAATATGCTTCTAAATCCCATGGTTCTCTTCAGACACAAATTAAATCTGGATTTAACTTTTGAATTTTAGGAATTTAACATTCTTCGGAAGCTGGAAAAGGCCAACATTACTTAAGCCTATACTTACCACGAACACAAAGTACTGCTGCTAAAAAGAAAATGGTGGGCAGCAATCAACCGAGTGCTAGTTTCATTTTTTAGATTGCTTTAGTATTTTTTGAAAAGAATTGACCTCAGCGGGCTACAGAAGCTTGTTATTTCCGAGGAGTTTTAACTTCGTAACCTTTCGTGGACTAGTTAAAGGGACTCAGGTCTCAAGAAACTGGATGGCATTATCAGATCGGACCTTATGTGTTCTCTATTAGAAATAGCCGGTTCCGAGAGCCTGCATCGTACGGGACGTTTACTTTCAAGAATGCCTCTATTCCTGGCTTCAGATCGTACTTACATGATATTTCGAGAGGGCTCTGTTAACAGATGGGTACTCACTGCTAGGGCGGCATGTAAGAATGTGCTGATCACCAAGGATGAGATTTTATGTTACATTAAATTAAAATTCTATACTGTTGGAAACATACAAGATAAGGAGTTCCTAGATCCTAGAAAATATTATGGCTAAGGAAATAGAGAACTCAGAAAAGGGATCCACCTCCAAGAAACTCTTTCAGTAAAACAGAATTAAGTGCCCTGTCTTAGGAAACAGTTTCCTATTGATCAGGAACTGGGACATCATACATTGTTTCTTTGGAGATTAAAGTGCAGCCTATGAAATGGCATAGAAAACAATGCATAAAATAGTGCAATCTCAAGGTGCCATGGTTTTTGCTTCTTACACATAGCCTCTGTTCATATGTCCATCTTTTCTAAAAAAAAAAAAAAAAAAATCCAGCTATAGCGACACCTTTAGCTTATTTATTTAGGCATGACTCATACTGTTTTACCCACCTTCGGGGCTACATAGAATATTTCAACATTTTAACAAGTAGAATAATAGCGCATACACCTTGAAACTACTAAATAGAGATTAAGGCAAGCCCCTGTAAAGTTCAGTATTCCAAAAAGCACGTCTTACCAAAAAAAAAAACAAAAACAAAGCTGCTTCTAAAACCGGTGGCTTTAGACCAGATGGCAGCCCGACAGTTTTTAAAACAGTCTGATGCATTACGCTCCGTCTGCGTCTGCCTCGTCACCTCCAGGCTCTGCACCGCGACAAAGGAGCTTGAAAAGCAGCAGGTTCTGTAACCTCACGTCCTAAAGAATCCGTATTTCGATTACGTGAAAACCAAGCCAAGTCCATGTGGGAGAGACGCGGGGGGCCCTGGGTGGGTGAGGTGGGGGCAAGTCCTCCTCGTTCCTGACGCCTCTTCCCCTCGGGTTTGTGTCGCGGGCGCTGCGCCATAATCGAGTCACAAGTGGGAGTGACCCGCTAACACAGAGAAGCCTCCTCTGAGAGACAGCCAAGGGAAGAGGACCCGAGGAACTCATGGCATCTCGTTCCAGGACATGACACTGAAGCCGCTGGTGTCTAACCCCCGGCAAGATGGTTCCCGTTTGGGAGGCTAGTCTGCAACCTTCCCGTGGCATGTCGGTTTTAGCGGATGCAAATAATTTGTGATCTGTCGAACCCTAAATGCCACTATGCTATCCCAAAGCAAGTGTAACAGCTATCAAATCGGTCAAGGCCATAGCCTAACGTGTTTTTTAGCAAGATGTCTTAGGTCAGATTTAAGACTTAAACAGACGACTGAACTGTAGTGCTTTCTTCTCCTACTCTTACGGAACATTCGTGCATTAACAAGTGCAACTCATGGGCCTTCTGGACAGTTACGAGCGAATCCTGTATAAGTGTGGATTTTGAAACAGAAAATCTACCTTCTGATAGTGTGGATGCTTCCTACGAAAGCCAAATACTCATGCTAACTAATGGAAGATTCTACATACATTTAGGGTGTCTAGGTGTAGTTTAAAAAGAAACCCAGGAACTTTAAATAATTCATGAACAACTGCTCATCATCTGAGGTTGTATCCCTTTGATGCGTAAGGATCCTACTTTGTAAACCTGTAAACATGTTACCTGGTTACTCTAAATAGAGTCTTCCCATTACCGGGAAGGCAGACTATTCACGGCCATGAGTATTCCAGTAGGCCTGCTCCAGAGTTAGGACAATATGGCTAAATCCTAGGATTACAAAAATGACACCTGCCAAGAAAACAAGTTCCAGACGGGGACTTTTATGGATGACCTTGGCTGACAAATGTTTTTTGGAAATTGTTTATTTTCAAATTACCTTCCCAACAAACCATGAAACACTTGGATGTTATATGGTAGTTTTTTTGGTTGTTGTCTTTTTTTTCATTGAAAACATACTACATTGTAAATGGAGTTTCCAAGTCAGACAGAGAATTGATCAAAATCTAAGGACAGTATTATGGAAGGACAATCTTAAAAATGGGTAAGAAAAAGTTTTGTTTGGTGAGGTTAAAGGATGGATAACCGTGTCATGGTGGACGGGTAAAAAGGGCGGTAACCTTGTGCTTTTATTCAACTAAGGTACTTACCAAAACCTTAGGTTTTATGCAGGTGTCAAACTCCCACCTGGACAGGGATAATTTTCTATATTACACCTAAACCTATTTTAAAGAACTGAAGCCCAAGGCAACAGTTGTTGACAGTTGATAAAAGAACTTATCAGTCAAATAATAACTACATAATTTAGTACATTAACATAAAACGGGGACAGTAATAGTTGAAGGTCTCAAAAATATACAAGTGGGGAAAGAAACCACTGCACACAATCTGGAGGTTGTTAAAGTGACCGCTTAGAAGTGTGAACAGTGCAAGACATGCTTTTCCAGTTACACGCTCAAAACAGGAGTGCAAACGAAATTAAAGCTTTTGTTTAAAGTTGTAGGATAAGGAAAGCTTGAAATTAATATTTAAAAGCTTCCCTCAGGTCATCCCCCAGAAATGAAATGATCAAAATGCTTTTTCATAGTAGGATTTTTCTTCAATGAGCTTTCTTTCAATGGCAAAACTGCATCCCATAAGCTGGGTCCCCTGCTCACACCTGTGGTGATCACACTGATCCATGAACACACACGGTGGTGAGTAAGGGCCACTACCAGTCCCCAGAGGTCCGACACTGACAGAGCCTTGGAGTTCGGGGTTCTGCCTTGGCTACTGTACCTGAACCCTACAGAGAACAGAGAAAGCGATGGGCTTTAATGCTCCCTCGCTCCCCTAAAACCGGAGGACAAAAGGACTAATCCCTCCCTGGAGGCAAGCTGTTGTGGTGGTGGAAGATGTTAGGTGCTCAAATAAACTAACGCTGCTCTAGAAAGTGGAGAAGTAGAGAGGTTCAAGGTCAATACCAGTGCAACAGCTTTTTACGTGAGCTGACTAGGCGATGCGTGCATGCATCCATGCAAATGCAGGGCGTGGCCCCAGAAGAGAACTGAAAACATGTGTAGAACAACTGGATAAGTCCCTTGCCAGTAGTTTATAAAAATATATAGTCAATACTGTAGAGGCCCCTCCTACAGTCAACACTATGGAAGTCCGTTTTAGTTACCCATTACTTCGATACCAAAAAGCATTTACTACTTTTCAGACATTCCAGACAAAGGTCACTTATAACAAAAAGTCAACTTTTTCTTTTTTTTTTTTAAAACAAGATACTGTCCATTTAAAAAGTAGGTCTTTTCTTTCAAGTGAAACAGGACATTTTCTGTATTCAACTTAACTCCTAGTCTGTCCAGACTGGTTTGTTTCAGATCTTTCTGTAATGTGCATATATGCAAGAACAAATAAACTTACTTTAAACATTATCTGCACAGAAAAAAGTTAACTCCTCAAAACATGATAGGACAGGTCTGGTTAGTACAAATCTATTGCAAAGTAAAAAGGTTCTGTGCATCAGTTCAACCAGGAGAAGCGGGAGAAGACTGTCCCAACTGTGAAGAGTTCAAGCTGAAGTTGTGTTCTTTCTGAAAGACCAGAAGCCTCCGGGGCGTCCTGAGGTGCGTAACTGCTTCAGCTGCTAAAGCCACGTCTTCCTCTGGAGCCAGGACCCTCCCCCCCTTTACTTTCTATTCCGGAGACGCTTAGATTTCCTAAGGGAGTCTATGGCTTCAGCTGCCTTTTTCCGTTTCCGAGGAGACTCTTCGTTCTGCCCAGCCCCTGAGGAGTTTCCCACCGCGCTCTCCATGACTTCCCGCAGTTTGCGCTCCAGCTCCGCTAACCGCGCGTTCTGCTCGCCTATGATCTGGGTCTGCTCTAGCAGTTTCTGGTCCTGGTCTTGAAGCTGCTTCTGCTGTTCCTGCACTTTGGTGCGAAGCTCGGAAATTTCACGCCTGAGAACAGTCACACCGGCACCGTTTGTCTTAACCTGCTGCTGGAGTTTGGTAACCTCTTGTCGTGAAGGGTTTTGCTTAGAGAAGAGCTGCATTGTTGTGAGGGCTGCAGAAGGTCCCGGAACTGCGGAGAAATGGTTTTAAATGGTCATTAATCACTTAAAATGTCTCACTACCGGTAATACTTCCTTAAACTTCTTTTGAAACTGAATATCCTTCTAAAATCACTTCCGATAATTTTCTCTTGGCAATCTACTTGGTTGAATGGATTAATCAGACACCCCTGTCTTAACAGTAAATGAGTCTGAATTCCGATGCTTGGGCTCATGTGCCAATGGGTGGATCACCAGGAAATGGAGAAGGACATTTAGCAGCATCAACCGGTTCTAAAACATTAGAGAACATTTTTAAGACCTACTAAGAAAACACAAGCAGTAAAACTAGAATAGAACTATTTTCTATCTTCTTTCACACGAGCAAATGTAAACATTCGAGTTAGAAGCACAGGTCTATCATGTTTTTAAATTTTCTCTACACTTAGCTCTATACAAGAGCTTCCACGTTAGCCAAACATGGATACCATCAAAAAGTGGGTTACATCACACATGATGATCATGAAGAAGTTCTGAGGTGATGCAGAAAGACGGCTTTGGAATCATTCTGTTTTAGGAATACTACAAGGTAACACTGGGATACAAATCACTATCATAAACCAATAACGTCCTTTTTAAAAAATGTTCTCTCTCCTTTTTAAAATACTTTTTTTTTTTTTTTTAAGATTTTTATTTGACAGGGAGAGACACAGCAAGAGAGGGAACATAAGCAGGGGGAGTGGGAGAGGGAGAAGTAGGCTTCCCGCGGAGCAGGGAGCCCGATGTGGGGCTCGATCCCAGGACCCTGGGACCATGACCCGAGCTGAAGGCAGATACTTAACGACTGAGCCACCCAGGCACCCTAAAAAATGTTATCTCTTAAAGGTTTTCTAAAAGGACTGGATGGATCCATTCCTACCCTAAACCCGTCGTAACAATTTTCTCCTTGTACATACATATAAATATTTTCTTGGACTGACGCATTGTTCCTTCTCTCTCTGCTTACCTTTATCTCATTTCCACTAACACATCAAGGCTTGGATCAATTCTTACCTCTTGTGAACTCTTAGACCAGTCAACAATGGTTCTATCTTCCTTAAGGTCCTGTCTCTGCTACTCATTTGGCATTTCAATGGACCCTTCTTTAAAATATTTCTCTTGCCAACGATAATTTAACTTTGAGCCTGGGTATGTCTTACCTTTTGACACAGTAAGATCCTTGAGGGTGGACACCACGTACTACACTTACTTTTAGTCTCCACAGGACACAGTACAGTGCTGTGCGCATAATAGGTGCTCAATAAATTACTGATGTATGAATGCTGAGATGCCATAGGCTTTATGATTCGATTACAGACAGCCACTCGGTCACCCCACTGAGCACGCCCAGGGAGCTAACTCATCCAAACAGAACAAAATGTCTTACTAAAAAAGGTTTTCCTGATGTAAGGTATTTGCAAAGGTTGAAGATATTTTGACCAATCTGGGCACAAATCTCTCAGATTGGATGTACTTTTTTTTTTTTTTTTAAGATTTTATTTATTCATTTGAGAGAGAGAGAGGAGAGACAGTGAGAGAGTACAAGTGGGGAGGAGAGGGAGAAGCGGGCTCCCCCGCAGAACAAGGACGCTGATGCGGGGCTCAATCCCAGGACACTGGGACCATGACCCACGCTGAAATGCAGACACCCAACTGACTGAGCCACCCAGGTGCCCCTCGGATCGGATATACTTTTGCAAAAGAGCTACCACAGAAGCAGTGATAGGGTTCAAAACAGCCTTACGTACCCTGTCTTTTCCAAGCAGCAGCCAGGCCCTCTAGGGGCTGAAATAATTAAGTGAATATTCCATGAAGAATTTTTTGGGTTTTATCTGGTATATTATAATTCTGTTTTAGCAAAATGGATATTAACTAGTCAGAAACATCAAAAAACAAACAAACAAACAAAAAAACCCTACATACATATTTGTGGCTTTTTACCCAGAAATTCTAATATATTTATTGTATGTCAATAGTTACGGATATGTACAAAGATACAGCCACGGGATTGTTCTTCAGTGTAATTTAAATACTGCAAATGTGCCTAACAGCAGCGGATTAGTGACACAAGTTACGGTTTGTGATCAATGTGTCCTTAAAAATCATGTTGCAGATACTATTTACAGACACAGAAAAGGGCTCGATGTATGATTAAGTGTGGGGGCAGGGAGCAAGTTAGGGAACTGTGTCTGAATGTTACTTTACACTGAACACACCAACAAGAGTACCTGGAGGAGAGCCCATGAGTCTTCCGGACACATCTGATCCTGGTAACTTCCTCTTCAGAATGGGCACGATCTTCTCGTCAAAGTACTCCATTGCCATGGAGGAGATATCCCTTAACTCTTGAAGTACTTCATGAGCTCGTTGAGGTGCTCTGGTAGAATTGACGTATCTCAACACACGATAAATCTCATCAATCACCTGAAACAAGGAGTTCTCATTAGCACTTTCCATTGTGTTTTTAAAAGAAAATGACTCACCACTTCTTGTGCGATCCTGGTAAAGACCTCCGGGGTGACGGGACTGAGGTGCTGGCCCCTGGTGACAATACCGTCTGTCCCGCACGGCTCTGGGCTTGTTATAGTCCTTCATGGGCCTCACACGCACATTTATTAAAATTTTCTGTATCAGGTGCTAGGGCTAAGGACTCAGGATGAATAAAACACAGCTTTTGCTCTGAGGGAAACCACAGGGCGACACATGTAAATGGGTGATAGAAAAAGGAGGTAGAAGCCGCTACAGAAACTGACCCAAACCCACTTCACTCCAGCCTGACGGTTTCCCAAAGCCCCAGGGACCCAGCCTGACTTCCTGCTCTGGGACCAGGCACTCTGGCCTCGGAGCTTTTGTTTCTCTTAAACCTGCTATGGATTGGGATGAGGTCTCCTTGGATCTCCCCTCCCACTATCACCAAAGGGTAGCGAGAGACCCCTTTTTACTTTAAGGGTAATCGCAATGGGGAAGCACAGGCATGACGTACATGGGGAAGAAACAAAGTTCTGACCATCCTGGGTCCTAATCCTCTTGCTGGAATGGTAGCCGGACCTTCCTTAGGCATTTTGGGCCTCAGCTCTAATCCCTAGAACCAACTGATAAATTGCACCTGTAAACTAACTTGTACCATATTTTTATCTTTACTGTTTTTGGTCTTTGAGGTAATGGTGTGAAAGGTCTCTCTCTCCATTTGCTCAGGTCTTCCATTAGAAAGGTGACATTTCTAAATTTTACTATAGAGAGATTATGTTAGTCAAGTGGGATAATCCACGTTTTCAATAAAATTAAAACCATTCTCTTTCCTTGTCCCGAAGTTATACTCGAAGGACAAGATGAAGGAGAGACGACCCGCACTGCTTCTACCATTCAGAGTGACTCGGGGTGGCAATGACACGTTAGGAAAGCATGGTGTTGACCCAATTTTCAAAATAGTTCACCCTCCAAGTGGGCTTAATTACTTTCTGAAAATTACTTTAGCAGCAAGAATGTAAGGGCATGATGAGTCTTGAGGTCTACTGGAAAGATCACAGGCCTTAGGCTGGTCACTTAAACTTTTTTTTTTTTAATAGCTTGTGATTTTCTGCTTCTCAGCAGATCATTCCTGCAATCTTTTTTATTTTTTTTTAAGTTTTATTTATTCTTTTTAATAATGTCTATACCCAACGTGGGCCTCAAACCCAGGGCCCAGAGATCGCTCGCTCCACTGACTGAGCCAGCCGGGCGCCCATGGTCACTCAAACTCTCAATGGCTGTTTCTACAGCTTTCAAATATGCTGCATGCCGAATCCCTCCTGAGCCTGAGGTGCTAAGATAGTATTTTACAAAGTATGCTACCGACCACATACGGTGTATCTCTCATGCTCGCACCTCGTGTTAAAACCGGCAGTGTCGTAATACATGACATACCATGGACACGACTGAAGAGGGCAAGAGGGGTGGGGGCGGGGGGGGTGTCCCAGGAAAGTAGGGGGGAGACAAGGGGGGCAGGGTGGGGACACCGCGAAAGGGGGCAGCAGCAAGAACAGATTGATTATTCTTCTTTCATTTTAAAGGTTCATGGACCGTATATATTTACTTTGGGGCAAGCACACTAAAAAGAAGAAATGTTCCCAAATAATACTGATTTCTAAGAACGTCTTCATATTAAAATCAATTTTAAAGATTTTATTTATTTATTTTTTATCTATTCATGAGAGACAGAGAGAGAGATGGGGCAGAGGGAGAAGCAGGCTCCCCGCGGAGCAGGGAGCCCGATGCGGGAAAATCAATTTTAAAAGAAACAAAAAACACAACATTTTGGAAACATTCTCGAAAGGATATTTCTCAAAATAAGGGACCCATGTTCTTCAAAAGTGAAGATCAAGCTACACAAAGGAAGCCCAGGAAGTATTCCACATTAAGGAGGTTACAGAGTCTAGCGTGACCGTGGCCTGGGGTCTGGACTGAGAAAAAGAGCAGCTAGGACGAGTATCACCGATCAGTGGTGAAATCTGATGTGGGCTGTCAGTGAGAGAGGCCATCATACCAAAGTTACATTTCCTGATTTGGTAACTGCGCTGTGGCTCAGAGAATGCCCTTTCTCAGGAAATACATCAGAATATTTAAGAATAAAGGTTCACAGTATCTCCACTATTTTGAAATGGTTCAGAAAAAAATAAAACACATACTTACAGAAGAATAAAAGCAAGCGGGACAAAAGGTAAATAACTGTGGGATCTGGATGAAAGACATATGGGAGATCCTTGTACTATTCTTGCAATTTTTGTGCAAATGTGAAACTGCATCAAGACAAGAAGTTACCCAAAAAGGAGAAGAGATTACAAAATGCCATCCCGCCATTCTTCCTGCTGCCTCCCTGGCCAAAACATTAAAAACCAACCAACAAAACCTAATTCTCAGATTTTCAGTTTGCTCAGGGAAATCTAGCCTCGTGACCTTGCATAATCACTTACACTGAAAATCCTGACTTTTGGGAATCACTGGGTTTCAATAAGCACAGAAGCATTATCAGGGCCCACTGGTAATGCCTTAATTAAGAAAAGGGGCTCACCGTGTCTTTCTTCATCATATTTCCCAGAACAGTCAGCTGGCCTCTGTTTACGTGTGCTTCAGTATGCGTGAACTGCTAACACGGACCCTGAATTTACTGTAAAAAGTGTGACTTCTGGCAGATGACTTAAAAAATGTCCAGAGTGAACCGGGCACCTACAGCCTTTTAGTTCTAACAGAAGATGGACGGAATATCAATATAGTGGTCAAGGGTTGCCACTGGGGCCCTGCTGGACCTGTAGCTGTTTCTGTCAATAAAGTTTTACTGGAACACGCGCACATATGTGTGTTCCCCACATGCTGCCCACGGCTGTTTCTCAGAGCCGAGGAGCTGAGAGAGACCACGTGGCCTGCAGAGCCAGAAATGCATACTACCTGGCCCTTTACAGAAAAAGTTTGCTGATCCCTTTCCAGGACTGACAGTGGCAAACTGCCGACAAGTCTGAATTCTTCAGACATATTTTCTTTTAATGTCCTTGTGATCGTATGGTTTCTGTGTCCAGAGACCCCATTTTAACACCTTCGGTGAGTAAGACCTAGTTTTTCACTCAGCAGGAGGGCAATGACCCAGCCGTCTGGAGTTGGAGGGGACCTGTAGGTTTAAATGCAGAGCCGTGCCCCACCCTGCCGTGTTAGCCCCACTCTCGGCGGTGCTTGAAGCCTTCTGGAGCCGGCTGTGCAGAGGACGCTGCTTCCCAGCTTCCCTGCGGCCCGTCCAGGCTTTAACGTCCTCAGATTGCTAAACCAGCCACCACTGGCCCGTGTACTTTCCAGCTTCCAGAAATTTGTTGCTGTTGCTCTCCTGACTTCACTCTTGGGGTCTCCGTTTTTTTTTTCTTTTTAAAATTAGCTTCTTTACTATAAGAGCAAGCTTTGGGAGGAAATCGAGGTAGTATGTATTTAATCTGCCATATTTAACCTATCACTTGATTCTAGGAGTAAATTTGACTACTCTTTCAGAGAATAATTTTATTTTTATTTTTAGAGTGGGGAGGAGAAGAGGGAGAGAGAATCTCAAGCAGGCTCCGTGCTGAGCGTGGAGCCCGACGCGGGGCTCGATCACACAACCCTGAGATCACGACCTGAGCAAAAACCAAGAGTCGAATGCTTAAGCGACTAAGCCACCCACACGCCCCAGGGAATAATTTTAAAAATGCTTTTTTCCCAAGTATTAGTTTAAAATTCCAAAATTCTGATATATCAGGCCTTCTAATTTAAACTATAATGTTGATATTACCCAGGTTCACTTAAGCAGCCTGTGAAAGAGTAATCTGTGAATGAAATGTTTACTATAGACATGAATTCTACCAAAACTATAAAAATGAGTTCTTCTTTGAAGTATGAAAATTCCTGAATTTTTTTTTTAAAAGAGTTTATTTATTTGACAGAGAAAGACACAGCGAGAGGGGGAACACAACCAGGGGGAGTGGGAGAGGGAGAAGCAGGCCTCCCGCTGTGCAGGCAGCCCGATGCGGGGCTCGATCCCAGGACCCTGAGATCACGACCTGAGCCGAAGGCAGACACCCAACCAACTGAGCCACCCAGGCGTCCTGAAAGTTCCTGAACTTTTTTTTTTTTTTTTTAAGATTTTATTTATTTATTTGAGAGAGAGAATGAGAGACAGAGAGCACGAGAGGGAAGAGGGTCAGAGGGAGAAGCAGACCCCCTGCCGAGCAGGGAGCCCGATGCGGGACTCGATCCCGGGACTCCAGGATCATGACCTGAGCCGAAGGCAGTTGCTTAACCAACTGAGCCACCCAGGCGCCCCAGTTCCTGAACTTTTAAGTAAAATCCAGAAGCAGGAACTGGGACAACACAAGAATAACCTAATATAGAAATTATATACCAGATCAAGATTATATGTTATACTGAGAAAGAATTATAGTATTATTTTTTAAAGATCTTATTTATTTGTCAGAGAGAGACAGCACAAGCAGGGGGACTGGGAGAGGGAGAAGCAGACTCCCCACTGGGCAGGGAGCCCGATGCGGGACTAGATCCCAGGACTCTGAGAGCATGACCTGAGCCGAAGGCAGACGCTTAACCAACTGAGCCAGGCGCCCCAGAGCGGGCGACTCTTGATCTTGGGGTCATGAGTTGGGCTCAGAGATTACTTAATTTAAAAAAAAAAAAAAAGAAAGAAAGAAAAAAAGTAATATTCTGAGTATACAGTGTTTGTTGTTTTAGGCAAAATATAAGCTATAAAGATGGCACTTTTAAGAAACAAAGTAATCTAAGATGAATTAAGTGTGATAATAAAAACAAAAATCTTTTTTTTTTTTTTTTTGTGGGGTTGTGTTTTAGGTTTACAGAAGAACACTTCGGGTGAGTTTTTGTGAAGACACGGGTACTATTAAGGAAAAATCAGCAGGCTGGTGTAAAACTCCTGTCAAACCCACCTGCTGGCTGAGCCTCAGTTTTCTTACCAAGGGAACAGGACTAGACCTTCCACAGCTGTGTGGAAAGGAAAGGAGTCTGTGAATGTGAACGTGCTCTGAGGATCAGAAGAAGTATTTCATGCATCTAAGAAGAGAGCAGTGACGAGGGAGAGGGACGGGTACAGGTGTGCGTTACAGGTGAGGCTGGGCACGAAGTTCCTTCCCGATGGCTCTGCTGCTGAGAACACAGGAAGGGCTGCACTGAGGAGCTGTCCTGAGCTGGTGCCCCGGTGGCGGCGGGGGGGGGGGGGGGGGGGGGCTGCTGCGCCTCGACAACTTAAGACTTCTCCATGGTACCTCGGTTTTGATATTTTGGTCCTAAAATTAACGTGAAAAGTCAACAGAAACTTGCAAAAAAACAGCAAGACTCAACTGATTTGTTCAGACAGTCAAGACCAGCATTCCAATCATGCGATCCTGATCACCTAGAAAGACCAGCCCCTCTGTAAAGGCCAGGTAGTAAGCATCTCAGGCTCTGCGGGCCGTGTGGACTGAGCACACATTACTCCACTCTGGTTCGTAACGACTGGCTGAAGTGTTTTTGAGGTTATGAAAACTGTAAGATGTTTCTTACGTATCCACATTCCTAACAATGAGATATGCGACAAAAACCATGAGGCTGTAGGGGACAACCTACACTAGTTCCATGAACTTCCCAGGAACACAAGAGATGAGGCCTGTACATTAGATTTGGATGCAATCTGGAGTAAGAATCAGAACTGCCTTTTAAAGTTAAGTACCCCACAGAAGAATCTGTAGCTAATAGGAGGAAAGTGAGATATACTAAAGAATATTTCAAATAAAATAAGAAACAGGATCCCCCTCCCCATAAACGTCACAGAAAACTGAAAACAGAGGAAGTATATACAAAATATTGCCAGTGTTAAGTATCTACAGAAATAACAAAAAGAGAACATTCTGGTTTTTCTAGAACTGATTAGTCCTGACCATGTTAAGGGAATCTTGCTAGTATCGACTAAGCAGCAGAAGGACCTTTCAATCCATCTCTGCCTCTTCTAAATATGATACAGATTTCATCTGAATTTACTCTCAATTCAAGAAGCAAGATACCACATGCACTGAGGTAGGATCCTGAGTAGCATGTGGAGTGCTGGCGCCTTTGTGAACTTGGGGACAGTCAATACGCCAGGACAGACTTCTGTGTTCAACAGCACTGTTCCTGTGCTGCTACCCAGTAACTGTCAATTCTTGCTGAATCTGGAAGTATTTGTCTTTATGAAACGCTTCTCACACAAAACAAAAACCAGCTTGTCCCTCCCACTCCACCTCCCCCAAATGAGAACAATCTTGAAGGCAGGGACAGTACCCATCTCGTTTGCTGTCGACCTTAAACAAAGAGTAAAAGCCCACAAATGTGTTTTTCAGCAGGAACTCTGTTATTTCTTCCTATTTATGGAAATAGTTTGTTCACTGGAGGTGAGGATGAATTCCTAACAAGCTTTTCTATAGAACAGCAGAGCTTCTACTGTGTGTTTCATAATGAGACTTTTAAACATGAAGATCAAGTATGATACGGATTTATATCAGTTACTGTACAGGAGCTAAACAAATCCATTCACAGGAACTCATTCCACAGAGGCGGGTACGATTCTGACATTTAAACAATCGCTTTATAATAATTTAAGTTTAAGCAGCACAATCCAGCTGTTTTGGGTAAGCAGTTCTATTTTACCTTTCCTGGGATGAAGCAACAGAGATTGGAATCCACATATTTCATGAAAGTCATGTTTAACAGTGAGAGCCTTGTTTCCACAGCAGCAAGGATGTCCGCGTGACGAGCTAACGAGTGGTTTCTTCTTTCTGACTCCCTCCTAGAATAAGAAAAAAAGCAAGCATGAAGGAAATACTGTGAACTAAATGGTAAGCAGTGAAAATGCCTTAATGGGATTTCTAACAGTTTAACATTTACCTGTTAATTTGATACCTACAATTGGGTCATAATTTAACTGTAACCATCAATGAATCGCTATGTCCAGAAATCCCTGCCAAGGACTAGTACTAACTAATCAATTATTGTGGGGGAAAAAAAAAAATCAGTTTTTTCTTGTTTTTTGGCTGTATCAAGCCTAATGGCCATATGAATCAAAAAGAAAAGAGAAATGAAAGAATTACACAAGGACATGTGGACAAGGGACTGTATGTTTTTACCCATAAAATCAGCTCAAAGTTTTACTTAACAAAATTTTTTTAAAAAGATTTATTTATTTTAGAGAGAGAAAGAGAGAGAGGGGGGCAGAGAGAGGTAGAGACGATCTCAAGCAGACTCTGCACTGAGCGGGGAGCTCGACGTGTGACTGGATCTCATGACCCTGAGATCATGACCTGAGCCGAAACCAAGAGTCAGTGGCTTAACTGAAACTGAGCCACCTGGGCACCCCTAGCTCATTTAAACTTTTAAAGTTTTATTGAGAAATAATTCACATTCACTTTTAATGTGTATAAATAACTTCATGGTTTTTAGTACATATGGAGCTGTGCACCCACTACCACCATTTAATTTCTAAACATTTTCACGACCATGCAATGAAAGTCTGTTAACTATTATCATTCACTCCAATTCCCCAGCACTTGGCGACCACTAGCGTACTTTCTGTTTCTAGGGATCTGCCCCTTCTGGACACAGCAAGTAACTGGAGTCGTATGGTATGTGGCATTTCGTGTCCGTCTTCTTTCACAGAGCACAGCTCTCAAGGCTCATCCATGTTGGAGCGTGTGTCAAGGATTCCATTCTACTGCCCATTGACATTCTGTCATATAGACATAGCAGTATTCTGATGATCCGATCATCAGGTGATGACTTTTGGGCTGTTTCCACTTTCTGGCTATCATGAATAATGCTGCACAGAACACTCATGTACAAGTTTTTTGTGTGGCTGTATTTCCATTTCTTTTGCTATACACCTAGGAGTGAAATTGCTGGATCATTTGGTAATTCTATGTTTAGCCTTTTGAGGAACAAAGTGTTTTCTAAAGTGGCAGAACCACTTTACAATCCCACCAGTAATTTATGATGGTTCCGATTTGCCCACATCCTTCCCAAGACGACTTCTTTACTTTGGCCATCCTAGTGGGTGTTCAGTGCTATCTCAGTGTTTTGATCTGCAATGCCCCGGGGATCATGGATGTTGAGCATCCTGTATATGCTGGCCTTCAGTTTCTCTTCTTTGGAGAAATGTCTTTGCCCACCCTTCAACCTGGTTGTGTGTCTTTTTATTGTTGAGTTCTAACAGTTCCTCACACAATCTGGACGCAGGTCCCTCACCGGATATTCGAGCTGTAACTGTTTTCTCCCCTTGTGTGTGTTGTCCTTTGCCGTCTTGGCGGCACAGAAGTTCACATTCCGATGAAGTCCAGTCTGCCTACTCTTTTCTTTTGTTACTCGTGTGCTTTTGGTGTCATAGCCAAGAAACCACTGCCTAATCCAAGTTCATGGAGGTCAGTACTGTTTCTACGTGAGGGTTTACAGTATAGCGCTGACGTTCACCTTTGATCTATATAGTCTACTTTGAGTTAATTTTTGTAGATGGAATGAGGAAGGAGCCCAACTTCATTCTTTTGCATACAGATACCCGGCTATCCCGGAATCATTTGTGGAAAGCATCATTCCTTCCCCAGTGAGTTGTCTTGGCATCCTGGTTGAAAATCAACTGACTAAACATGTAAGGATTTCTTGTCCACACTCTCCGTTCTATTCCATCGGTCTACACGTCTGTCTTTATGTCTGCACCACGCTGGTTTGATTACAGCAGCCTTGCAGTAAGTTTTTATATTGGAAAGTGGTAGTTCTCTACCAACTTTGTTGCTCTTTTTCAAGACTTTTGATTATTCTGAGTCTTGTATTTCCACAGGCATCGTAGGATGGGCCTGTTGTTTTCCACAAAAACCACAGCTAGGATTTTGACAGGGATTGCACTGAATGTGCACATCAACCTGGGGAGAACTGCCGCCTTCAGAGCAGAAAGTCTTTCAATCCATGACCATGAAATGTCTTTCCACTGAAGTCTCCTTAAATTTCTTTTACCAATGTTTTGTAGTTTTCAGCAGACAAGTCTTCTTCTGTTATCGTCACTACTAAGTATCTTACTCTTCTTGATGGTACTATAAATGGGATGATCTTTTTTTTTCTAAGTAAGCTCTATGCCTAACATGGAGCTTGAACTCACGACCCCGAGATCAAGAATCACATGTTCTTGTGGCCGAGCCAGCTAGGCCCCTGCCCCCCCTTTCTGGAGTCTAGTTGATGCACAATGCTATATTAGTTTCAGGTGTGCAACGTAGTCACCATCTCTAGCTTATGCCATGCTCACCCCAAGTGTAGCTGCCATCTGTCACCACACAATGTGATTATACTACCATGGACTATATTCCCTATGCTGTACTTTTCATCCCCATGACTTTTTCATTCTATCCCTGTAAGCCTGCATCTCCCACTCCCCTTTACCCACCCTGCCCATCCCTGCATCCTGGAATTGTCTTAACCTGCTTTTGGATCATTTATTGCTAGTATATACAATTACACAACTCCTTTTTGTATATTGATCTTGCATCCTGTAGCCCTATGGAGCTTATTTATGAGCTCTAACAATTAGAGGACTCCTTGTGTATATGACCACATATATATGAGATCTTGTCATTTATGAAGAGAGAACACAAATTCTTCCTTTCCAATCTGGAAGCCTTTTATTTCATTTTCTTGCCTAACTGCCCTGGCTAGAAACTCCAGTATAATGCTGAATAGAAATGGTGAGAATGGGTGAACCATAGTCAAAATCACTTATTGTGATCTGGGTACCCTTCCCTCTAAAAAGTTGGAAACCATTTAATATGTAAACTTACCCAAATCAAAAAACAAAACTCAAAACAACAGGGGTGCCCCATGTTGGCTATAGCCATTACTTAAAAACAACAACAACAACAACCAAGAAACAAAGAAAATTCCCATTTGTAAATTACTGCCACCACTAGCCACAACATACCTTGGAAGTTGTGCTTTAACTTGTTTCTGACATAGATTGTGGTATCTCTCCACTTTTAGAAATCCCTGATTCAACATTCTCTGGCAGACCAAGTCCATTCTTTTACAAACCTACAGGGAAAAAGGAGAAGGACGAATTTTAATAGGTAAAACCCAAATAAATAACAAGACAGTTAACTTAGACTCCTGTTAGAGGGAAGTTCTGTGTCAGTACCGTTCCCCAGTCTGCTGTCTCTCTAAATCTGTACATACAGTATATGTGTATATATATATATATATGAGGTGAACCCCTCATGCTTTATAACTCTTGTAGCATTACCTTAAGAAATTAATACTATGTGTAGGCAAGGAATACTTTACCTTTATTTTAGGTATTGGCTGAATGTTCTGAATGTATCCCCACTACTGTGGTCAGAAAATGTAGTCCTGAAGATCAGTAAAACAACATATTCAAAAGGATTTTAACGGTTTGAATAAAGAAAATTCTCCGTTAGCTCAAAATGTGCATTCAAACTTAAGCCCAACCTCTCATAAAGTTTATATGATCTATAACCAGAATGAGAATTCTTATTTATTTCTACTAGTCAGGGTTAACTACAGAGAGTTACTCTATACTAGATACTATCATATCCTCTATAATATAAAATATTTTAACATATGTAGCAGAATCTCGACTATTTTGAATCTTTAAGGTTTTTATACAGTAAGAGCACAGAATCATAAGTCAGAACACCTGAATTTGTACCTAACTTGTACACATTCTTGAGCAAGTCAGCCACCTGAAAGACTGAGTCAGCCTTCTGTAAAATGTGGATAGTATCTAACTCATAGGGATATCATTAGGATTAAATGAAACAATACACACTAAAATCACTCTGATAAACCCTAAAGTGCTCTGTAAAAATTATGTTAAATAAATGGTTTAACTTAGTACTAACTGGAACACTTTGTTCCATAGGTGCTCTATTTCTGAGACATGCCAGCGTCTTTTTTTATCTTAATGAAACCCAGTGCACAAAATACTTTTGTTCTTTGATCCCTGAGAATTTTGCAGTGACTCAGAGGAATCAACTTGAATGTTAGTTCTCACTGTACAGGTGTGGATGTTGAAAGTGCAAGACATTGAGAAAAATCTAGATCAAGGCCAAGGCGATTAGGCGGGGGCTGTCATATGCTTCTATCTCTCATAGCAACCCAGCACAAATGCTTGACAGATACTTGCTGAAACTGAAATGTTGATGAAACTCTTGATATGTCTGCTTTCTCCTGAGAATACACAAAAATTCTGGCAAGCTGGATTGAAGCTAACGAAGGCTGTAATACTCTAGTATTAAATACTATGTACTTCCTAAATCATAGCATGCCAAATGAAAGATATTAAGGAAAACACTTCTTTTCCAGTTGAAAATAAATAAAAACATAACAAATTTTAAGTAATGAAACTAAGAGTAATTCCTAATAAATGATATTTTAGAATTTGGTGGGATCTATTTCTAACTAAACTAAACCAGTTGTCAACATATGCTCAATGTCTGTTAAAAAATAACAATAACAAAACCAATACATATCAACATCAATAATTCGTAAAGTTTATTTATGCTTTATAGTAATCACTACACCCATCATGGGGTTCGAACCCACGACCCCAAAATCAAGAGTTAGAGTTGCACACTCCTCTGCCTGAGCCAGCCAGGTGCCCCAACATAAATAACTTTTAAAGGAAAAATAACTCTTCTAAAAATACTTAAGAGTTACATTTTTGCAAATCTCTTTGATATGTAGTTTTATAGAACAGAAATGGATAGCCATATCTGCTTCTGCATTCAATCTACTGAAGTATTACCTTAGAAAGTTCTAGAAAACATAATACACAAGCACACATTTCACGAGCTGTCGGTGTGCTGACATCATCACATGTCACAGGGCTCCCGGAAAGCTCCACTGTCCACTTGTTAAACGCAGAAATAACAACTTAGAACTATAATGGAAGTACTTTAGATCTTACAGACTCCCTGAAAGGGTCTTGGGAACCACTCTGGGAGGCCTAGACTAAACTTGAAGAACCAGTGCCCCGGTCCTAAATAAATACATTGTCACGATACGGTACTGAAACTTTATGTGAGGGAAAAAGAAAACCACTTTATGTTATTGCGGGAAGGAGGAGAGCATCTGTATGTGTGATGAGGGGGAATACAGCAGGCTCAATTCTCATCTTTCACAGTAGAAAGTCAACAGATAATATCAAAATAGTATCAGCCCAAAGACTTGAAAGCAGCACCGCTGGGGGATAAAAATTGAGGGCTATAAAAACATTTTTTGTTGTTGTTGCCAGAACTATCTGAGGTGAAGCACCTTCTAACACAGTCTGGTAGGGAACACATCGTTGTGGACTCTGCAACCTCTTTGACAATTTCTGAGACGAAATAATGGAAATAATTTTTTAGCAGCAATAAATTTACAGAGAAAAAATTAAGGTCAAATGTTATCGTAATAGTTTCCTGGGTACTGTTTAAATTATTTTATTATTATACCAGCATTTTGCCGCACTGAATCTACTAACTACTAGGACGCAGACATCTTCTAATAATCCAGAAACTCGGCTCAGTGTCTGAGTACTGACCAGTACTAGTGTGGGTGATCAGCAGGTAAATAAATAAGCAGATAAGGTCAGCCAAGGAAGACTTCACATTATACAAGATTTGAGTTAGCTTCGCAAAGAGGACAAGGACTGCTAAGTTAGAGGTGTGGCCCAAGCAAAGGCAGAGTCTGGAGTGAGTAAACCATTGCCAAGCAACCTACTTCTGAGGGTAGATCAGATGTGCAGGCAAATCTGAGCGGAATAAAATCTCCCACATTTTGAGCAGGGAAATCAGATGGTAATGAGAAATGACTTTAAAAAGACCACCCATTTTTTGAAAGATCTCACATGGGGATAGTTGGTTATTTTCTGTAAGAAACTATATTAGGACTAAAGATCTGGTTCCAGAAATTTCACATGGGGATAGCTGAAATCAATGTAGATGAACCCCCAAATGAACAAGTATAACATAAGAAAATAAAAGCTTACAGAGTCTCAACTGACATTATCATTAAAAGCTGGTAAAAAGAGAAAACAGAAGGTCACAAAGGCAGACAAATGAGACTAGCACCACAAAAGCTGAAGTCAAAAATATTTTAAGCATTAATCAATATCGTAGAAAAGAGCAGCATTTAATTTGGTATTCTTTCTTTCCTGGATGTCTAGTAAGCATTGACCAATAGCACAAAAACAAAGATACAATAGATCACATACCTTTGTTTAGAATTCAGAAAGAAGCAAAGTGACCCTTGAAAACAGAAGTAGTTGACCCCTGAACAGCACAAATTTGAACTGCACTGGTCCACTTATAACGTGGATTTTTTTTTTTATAAACACAGTCCAATTCTGTAAACGTATCTTCTCTTCTTATGATTCTCTTTTCTCCAGCTTCCCTTTATTTTAAGAACACAGCTTTTTTAACATATAGAATATACAAAATATGTTAGTCAACTATTTACATTATTGATAATGCTCTGGTCAATAGTAGAGTGTTAGTAGTTGAGTTTTTAGGGAGTCAGAAGTTGTATGTGGATTTTCAAATGCATAGGGGTTGGCGCTCCTAACCCCTGCATTGTTCAAAGGTCAACTGTTGGGACGCCTAGGTGATTCAGTCAGTTAAGCATCTGCCTTCGGCTCAGATCATGATCCCGGGGTCCTGGGATCGAGTCTCGTGTCAGGCTCCCTCAAGGAGCCTGCTTCTCCCTCTGCTGCTCCCCCTGCTTGTGCTTTCTCTCGCTCTGACAAATAAATAAAATCTTTAAAAAACAAACAAAACAGAAAACAAAGGTCAACTGTACCCTAATTTTCCCTACAGTAGGCAGTTTAATGATAGCTGCTGATGATGTATGCTAACTTGCAATGCAAAATTATCTCATTTAAAATGTAGCTTTAGGGATGCCTGGATGGCTCAGTTGTTAAGCATCTGCCTTCGGCTCAGGTCATGACCCCAGGGTCCTGGGATCGAGCCCCGAATCGGGCTCCCTCCTCAGAGGAAAGCCTGCTTCTCCCTCTCTCACTCCCCTTGCTTGTGTTCCCTCTCTCGCTGTCTCTCCTTCTGTCAAATAAATAAATAAAATCTTTAAAAAAAAAATACAATGTAGCTTTATATCTATGGGTATTTTAAGAATTTCCCAAAGCTGACGGGAAGAAATTTTAGTTTCCTGGTTATTAAAATACAACAAAAATCCTAGCAATTTGGTCATTCACCCACGACAGTAAAATAAAATTCTGGAGTCTAATATACAATGGTGATGACTATGTCAAAAACTACCATTGCATTCAGAGATCAGCAAAAATAGACACTTACCAACATACCAGGGAGCTTATGGAATATGTCGGTCTGCAGCAGAGACATTTAGTTTAGGTCCTCTGTTACTGCCTCTCTAGTTAGGACATGTGGTTTTCTTTGTTAATTACTTGAAGAGTTAAAATGCCATGTTTATCCTTTTCCATCGCTTTCTAACATAAGTAGTAATGAAAATTCTTCTCTTTGCTTTACTTAGAAATCTTTTTTGATTTCTTGTGCCCCTATGGTCCTTCTTAACAACGCAAGACACATATGCCATAAATTTGTGAAACCTTCAATTTTCCTGTGACACCTAATCTTAGTATCAAATCTCAGTTGATTCTAAGATGCACATTTTTTTCATATTTTAACATTTGACATCAGAATGGTCTTACAATTATAACTGGCACCATTTCTTTTTCAGATGGCTTAGATGCTGTGAAATATAAAAGGGTGGACTTCTTTGATTTTGTTTAATTCAATAAAAGCTCTTCTGGGGAAAAAAAAGCACTGCTAGAATAATACACATATAAGTTGATCAAGATACATTCTGATTTCAAAAATGTTAAAACATGAAATTATATCTTAGAATTGAGGAAATACTGTAATGGAACCAGATTTTTCATGTACTTATTTAGTGCTCTAAAGTTCTCAAATGAATACTTGATGCTTTTCTCCAATTAATCCAGAAGTTATTATTAACGATTAGGCTGCTTATCAATAACCCCCAAACTGGAAGGAACTTAA